GCCCTAAGCTGCAGCCTCCTTAGCGCCCCTCCCCCCTTTAATTCAGCACTGCCTAGATAGGGAGACTTCATCAGTGACTGTAGGCTTTGTTCGTTTCTTTCCTTCCAGACGGACGGCCGCATCACGCCAAGCCCGACGAAGAGGCACAAACCGCGACTGTTCCAACTCAAATGCCACAGCAGAAGACTGCATCACCCCCTCGGCCCTCGTCAGATCAGGTCGAAATCTGCATCGAGGTCCATAAGCCTAACCACGACGACCGGAAGGCACAGAGACTGTCTTCTGCGCCATCGCCAGCCGGGTGAGCAAAGCCCGCAAATCGTAGGCCAATGTGCAGCTCCACGCAAGGCCCGTACAGTCTCCCTCAACTGCCCTAAAACGGCAATAGATTTCCGAATGCTTGCTCTGGATGCTGTGTTTCAAGCAGAGCGTCGCATTGTCTATGACAATATTGTGTCGGCGTAGGACCGACTAGTTATCTGAGCAGTGTTGCGTTGTGTCAATTTATAGACCGTTTCACTTCATGTGTATTGAATGTTTTACCGAACATCGCCCAAACATTTCTTGCGATAACTACGCATGGAAAGGAAAAAAAAAAAAAGAACTCAATTGATGCCGTATTATTCACTGCCGAAGGACCAGTTTAGTGGGTAGGTACATAGTGCCGCAAATAATTAATGTTTTCCAAATCAATTGTTGAATTACTACAAAGAAATATGTCGTTTCAATGTAAAACGTATTGAGCGTCATCAAGAAATATTAAACCGGTTAACATTTTGAAAGACTTTGAGCGCGTGAGATGTGTGGCGGTGCTCGACAGTTGGTATTGTGATACAGGCATATAAGTGGTAAAGTAAAAATGTGAGTAATAAAAAAAAAGAGTGGGCACGTTGATTGTAGGTACAGTTCGGAATGCAGAAGAACAAAGTATGGACTTTAAAAATTCCCAAAACTGAGAGACTCAGTGACTTGTGATTGTGCCTAAGAAGTTTCTAATTGTAGCAATATGTTTATTTTTTATAATTAAAATATCATTATGGAAACAAATAAGAAACCCGATCATCCTAAAGTAACAGGGTAGAGATTTTCATTTTTGTGCAATGCATTGTTTTTACACATAATTATTGGCCGATGTTTTGTGAAACACCACATATATTATATCACTGCAATTTCGTCACACTAATGCTCTTGCTGTCTCCCTTTTCAGGCTGCGAAGCAGTCGCCAGAAACCCAGACAACCACCGAGGGTCCAAGAGGACACCAAACCTCTCAAGCCATCCTGGCTAAAGATGATCAGTGGCGTGATGCCGTTCCAGGGGTTCTTCGACCGGGGAAAGGGAAAAATTCCCCGCCGTAGCTTGCTGCGACAGCGCACGACGTCGACGGAAATGATCATCACCACGGATGCAGCGGTGCAGCTAGAAAAGCCCGCCATGGTGGACGACTCGCAGCAGGTGTCTGAGGCTCCCGTGACTGGTGAGGCACCTCCGTCTTACCAAACTTGGGCACATCCGTTTTGTCACCCTTCTGGTCATGTCTGTGTAGCACTTGAAGATTTGTCTTAGGTGCCCTAAAATGGGTGCCCAAAGTTGGTAATGTAGGCGCCATAATGAAAAATGTTAGCGGCAATGCACAGTGGCCATTCCTCTACTGCAAGTGCCACATATGAGGCATTTGCAGTACATGATCTTGCGTTCTGCAAGACCCAGCAAGATATTCGATGATATTAACAGGGTGGCATCTATTTGTGTTTTCGAGGTAACCACGTCTGGTCTGGTATAGCCTCCGACAATATGAAAAACCCATTCGACAAGACAGTGTGAGGAGGCTGTGCTGGATTCGCTTTGGGCATGTTCACTGTAATCGTGTAAAGAAATAAATAAACGTTTGTTCTATTCTATCTTTCGAAACAATTAGAGCCTCCAGCCAAATTGAGTCACTGCAAGAACTTGAACCGCCGAATGGGTCTTCGTATTGTGGGAGGCTGTACATGAAGGCTCCAGCAGTGGCCATTTCGAGATGAACCTGCACTTAAAATAAAATAAAATATCGATAATATTTACCATCTATCCGCCGGGAGTCAAATATAGAATCCTGGCCATAATGTCGAAAACAGACACAATATTGCGGACAGAAAGAAATACAATTAAATTGACTGACACTCTTATTACGAATTTGTCACATACGTAGCTAACATGAATGGTGTGCAGATTTATATGTATATATATATATATATATAGTTTCGCGGAGTTTATTGTATAATGTATCTTAATCTTACAGAGCACAGACAATCAAATGTTAAGAAATTAATTCGGCTGCACTTTGTGGCAGTAGGCATACATAGACACGGGCCACGGTGTAAGATAATCTGGAACGACGCCTAATCAAACCCAGCTCCAGGGTGTCGAACCGGAACCGAACCGAAAACCGGAACGGAACCGTTATTTTTAGCCGAACCGGAACTGAACCGAACCGAAATCTTCGCCGCCATCTTGGAACTGAACCGGAACCGAACCGAAAAAAAATATAACGGTAACCGGTTCAAAACGGTTCAAGCTAATATTTCTTTTTTTTTTCTTAGTATCACAAAATGAACATATGGGAATAAAAAATTGGCGGATGTATTTCAATCTATAGATCAAATCGTCATATATTCAGAATTGAAAAGTATGGTAAGTTGTGGGTTTTCATGGCATTATGATTAACCATGTGTCACGTTGTCACGTGACGCCATGGTGTCAATTCATGTTGTTATGTGACCTCGTGACGTCACGTGACTCACTGCGTCAACTCGATTTAATTTGAGGGTCACTTGATGTATTAACATTGTTGACAGCATGACGTAACATGACATTACGATTTCGCATCGAGAGTCACGTGACACCGTGACGTAAGCGATTTTCATTACCCCTAGTCGAGTGCTCGGGTTCATGACAATCAGCACCACCGAACATTTGGGTAACGGCTCATGTCAATTACATATGATAATAGCCCAACTCTAACAATATCCGAAGGTCATCCCAAGCTTTTGCTTTCCAAACCCTAGCCGCCTAGAGCATGACTGTGATGAACACTGGCGGTATCAGATCACGTGGCTGCTTGTTTAAATTGGGAGTTGAGGAGATATCGACAGCTGTCTCTTTCCTTTATCTTTTCTGCATCTGCTATTAGGGGAAAAGTAATGGATGTTTCCGCAAGCTATCAACGTAGGGGATATTTCTTAACACTATTTGTTGAAAGTACAAGAAAAAAGTGTTGCAAGACCCATTTTACATTATTGAGGCACCCAAATATTTTTTCGTTTTTGCTGAACTGCATTCGAAAGATGTCCCCGAGAATAGAAGTATTGAAATGACTGAATGCGACTTATCAATATGACGTTACATAAAACTACACGTGTGTACGGAAGGAATACTAAAAAAAAAGGATATTTTAGAGACCTCAGAGAGACAGCCGAACGTTGGCAGTTGCTGTAAGTCTCACACGAGCGTCGTTCTCAAGTTATTGCACAAGTTTCGACTCCCTCTGTACTTTGCTTAAAGGAGCTATAAAAATATTTCTATACGTCACTAAATACTACTCAGGATCAACACCCTAACGTTAATAACTGTGTGAGAATCGGCCCGCTATTACCGTGAAGGGACGCGGGAACAGGTTCTTTTCTTTGCGTGTTTGCGTTCGCGCGTGTGCCCCTGTGTGTGGGTGAACTGGCGACGCTCGTGCGGGCTGGGGCAGGGGACATTAGAGAGAGAAGAAGACGAGGAGGGCACGTGGTGGGACCTTTTTGGGACATTGTAAATTAGCTTCGCTTGTAAATAGACGTGTTTTTCTTTTTCTTCCCCTATCCGCGGAGTCCTGTCTGGTTCACTCTTCCGTCAGCGACCATCAGCTGCCTCCATCGTCGGGTCCCGGCGCAATCTCGAAGAAAGAACATCTTTACTGGCGCAGTCGACAGGATTGCGTCAGCGGACCCCGGCGGCGTGATCTTCACAATGGAATCGGCGGACAGCGACTTGACGCGGCTTTGGTGCAGCCTTCTAAAGAGAAGACTGGACCACCGAGCTCCTTGAAGACTGGACCACCGACCTACTTCGTGGTGACAGATCTACCTCGGACCAGATGCCGTCCCACTCCAGCGAGGAACGCCTGAGTCTACAGCTCGGACATCATTTTCGTGCCTGACTATTCTGAGCAGCGGGCTGCGTCTGTGATCTAGCGGCAGTCGTTGACCTTACGGTAAGCTGATTCTCTGACGTGTGCCCGCCATGGATACAGACAGTGCAGAGCGGCGGATGCCGGTTCTAACGCCCGAGCAGGATAGGGTTCGGAATAGGAATGTTGACGGGCCAGGTGAATTGTCACCTTTGAGTGGATTAGTTTCAAACTCGCAGACACAAGGGGATGGGAACGGAGGAGTCCGATCATACAGCTCAATCGAAAAGGAGATAGAACTAGTAAGGGAGAAAGAACGGCTGCTACGTCTTGAGCTAGAGCTAGAACATCTACGCTCAGGGAACCAAACGCGAGCCAGTGGAGGCGGCATGGAGTTCAAACTCCGAAATGAAGTTTTAAGCTTTTTCAGATGGATGAAGGGAGTACTTACTCCCATGCCGTCGTCTGATACGTTAGTACTAAGCTGGTTTGACACCGTGGAGAATGTTTTCGACAGGTATATGATCCCTGAGCGGCTTGGAGGATATCTTGTGCGACCTTATTTCACGGAGAGCATGCGAGCACTAGTGAATAGGGTGAACGTGGGTGAAAGAAGTGGGTATGGTGCGGTCAAAGAAAGGGTCTTGTTAGAGCTCGGACTGTCGCGAGCTGAAGTCTGGAGGCCTTTTATTGAAACCACCACTTCTCTCAAAGAAGAACACAAGAATCGAAGGCAGGGCATCATACCTGAAAATTGTCGGGTGAAGTGCTTTAAATGCAAGGAATTTGGGCACCTTTCCCGCGAATGTCCCCGGAAGAAGACACCAGACGAAGAACTTTTGTTTCACATGAAAAGAGTAGACGCCGAGAATGCCACTGTGGAGGAAGACTCCAGCCGCGAGCCCGACAAGGTGACGACCGATGTGGGCAAGACCGACGGTAACAACTTCGACCACCAAGGTCAGAAGAGGCCGGACCCATCGGTCCGCGAGGCGCCTCAGATTCTGTTACAGGCCGACGACATAAAGCGGTCGTCAAAGAACAATCGCAGCTGTCTGTCTGTGCAAGTGGACATTGACGACAGAAATGAGCTGAATGTCTCGCGTGCCTGGAGGACATCCCAGCCAGCCGAGAATGACCACGACGAGCAGGTAAACGTCGACGACGAAAGGCCGTACACTTTGCCTGGGCGGCAAGCGTCCCGGCGATCTGAGGACGACCCATGTGTGAATTTCTACAACGTCGACGCCGGTCCCGACATCTTGCCTCGGTTGCGCAAGTTCCGGCAAGCCAATGATGACCACGTTGAGAACATGGGCGTCGGTTACAAGGAAAAACCGAGAGTATCTCTTGAGAGGCGGACGTCCCGACAAGCCGAGGACGACGACGGCGAGAACGTGGACGATGACGAAGGACTGAACTTATCGCCTGGGCGGCGGGCGTTTGGGCGGGCGGACGATGACGACAGCGAGAACGTGGGCGACGATGAAGGACCGAACTTATCGCCAGGGTGGCAGGCGTTTGGGCGAGCGGAGGATGACCATGACGAGGACGTAAACGTCGACGACGAAAAACAACCGAATATTTTGCTTGGGTGGCAGACGTTCTGGCAAGCTGATCACGACCCCGGCAAGGACGTGGGCGTCGACAAACAGTCGGACATCTTAGTAGGGCGGCTGACGGCACAGCGGGCCGGTGAAGATGTCAAGGAAAGCGGGGACAGCGACGAGGACGCCGTCTTCGAGATGAAGTCGTCCCAGAGTATAACTAGGGACGCCGACGAAGACTCGACCACCAGCCAGCCGGCCACGTATGAGAGAGCTGGGAGTGCAGAAGACGTCGACAACGGCGACCGCCTGCGAGGCCCATTCCTGATTCGTAAATCAAGACAGAGTATAAACTGTCGTCGCTCTTGCGCGGAGAAATTCTGGAACCAGCTATACACTGTCTGATTCAAGCCCCGCCGAAATCTGGGTGGCTTGAATAACCTGTCGGCAAAGAGACCGAGGCTAGGCGGCTAAATGCTGCGCTAGTCTCGGCGCGAGATTTGCCACTGCTTTGGAGCCTTGGCGGGCACAGTAAGAATCACTTTACTAGCATGTGATTGGCATATTGGTGTAAATTTGTTTTATAGGTTGGATTCTTGCGGGTTGAGTCACAAACTCTGCGCAAGGTGTGACTGACAGGAGTACGCGTTTGAGTTTAGTTGTTATATATTATTTTTGAGATTTCGGGTCTAAAAAATATACTTAGTCGGGAGGTGTGAGAATCGGCCCGCTATTACCGTGAAGGGACGCGGGAACAGGTTCTTTTCTTTGCGTGTTTGCGTTTGCGCGTGTGCCCCTGTGTGTGGGTGAACTGGCGACGCTCGTGCGGGCTGGGGCAGGGGACATTAGAGAGAGAAGAAGACGAGGAGAGCACATGGTGGGACCTTTTTGGGACATTCGAAAATTAGCTTCGCTTGTAAATAGACGTGTTTTTTTTCTTCCCCTATCCGCGGAGTCCTATCTGGTTCACTCTTCCGTCAGCGATCATCAGCTGCCTCCATCGTCGAGTCCCGGCGCAATCTCGAAGAAATAACATCTTTACTAACTGCTTGAACTTGGCTTTGCTATTTTTTCTAAGCAATGGCAGTCGCCGAAAAATTCGAGAAATGTGAGCATCGTTCATCCCCTCAACTCGGAGCCAGAAGCGGCCATGTGGCCTGGTGCCTATCTTCTGCCGCCAACGTTAATCATACCCCCGCGCTGGTGTTTTAAAGGAAGAAAACGCGTGCTCAGCTCCAGGCATTGTTAGAGTTCGGCTATTCTCATCTCGCAGTGGTTGGACACGAGCCACTACCCAAGTGTCTGCCAAGACATTGAATATTACGAGCCGAAGTCGAGTGCTTACGCAGTCCTCCTGTCCAATCCATGAGCCGCGCTCGACTGTCGTCAGGCGGGAGGTTTTGATCCTACAATTTCGACATCAATCTTTGGGAAAGCAAGACTAAAAGAAATAGTCTCATTTAATCCTCGCAATTTCACCGCGACAAAGAAGCTTCTGAATTAGTGGCGGCCTGTGCGAGTGTACTTGTGTCGGAGGACCAGTACGCCTCAGAAAAGTCATGAACATTCCAACCCGATGTCGTTTTATGACCCATCTAAACTTCACGGGGTGCAAAATAAAATCAATGAAGGGTTGCGGTTAACAAGTGTCAAATAAATTTGTCGAATGAACACACACCAACGGAGGAGGCAATCCCTCAGGAATACTTTCAGCCTTTCCACTCTGGTGAAGAAGGAAGACCAGCGAAGTTGTACTATGGTGTAAATAAAGTAATGGCCGGCCGCAAGTCGGCAAGCCAGAGTGGAAAGGCTAAAGAGGTTGCCGCCATCTATGCGCGACAGCGGCAACCAGACAACCGGCAAGCCGGTTGTCTGGTTGCCGTCGTTATTTATAGAGGGCGGTAGCTTACCAAAAAGCACGTTTTTGTCGTGTCAGACGCTTGCGCCGTTCCTAGTGAAAAGCGTCTGACTCGCAACTAAAGGGTCGTGGGTTCGAATCCCGCCTAATATTCTTAATCTTTTTTAAGGCAAAATAATTACTTTCAAAAGTGAAATCATTTGAGACATACGGCGACCTTTAATTCGCATTACATGTCATGTTTTAATCACTCTCATTCCACACGTGATGCCACGTTTCCCGTGAGCATTGTGGGTTGCTTGAAATTCTTGCACGAGGGTATGTAGCTCTGACGTCATGAACCTATCAACAAATCAGGATTTTCCAGTGTCGCCACCGACATCGGCTTTTATGCGACATGAGCTCCTTAACGCTATCGAGTTAAAATCATCAGTTATCAAAGGTGATGCTCATTTGCAAATTAAATTGACCGGCGTCTTGTCAAGAAGAAATCTCAACAGTCAGACTATGCCAGCGTATTCTGCATAAGAAAATGTTCACTTGGGCAAGCGCTTATTTGGGTCAGATTCGAGAGAGAGAGAGAGAGAGAGAGGTGGCGTGAGAGAAGCAGGAGAGGTTGTTCTAGCGGGAATGCTGAACTGGTTCCCATGAAAAGAAGTAGAGAGAAAGGATCTGAGTGCGAAGGTGCGTATACATTAGAGTGAACAACCGCATGCCGCATGATTAGTGGCATGCATGCGGTGCTGAGTGTAAACAATGTTTAGTTAGAACAACAAGCATTTGGGTTGCCGTTCGGTGTTTCGATAAAAAATAGACTGAAATGAATTATTCTAAAACTTTTGTTACATTCTGAAACTTTCGTTGCTTTTAGCTCAGTTGTGTCGTCATCATATATATTTATATTGTGAAGTGTATTTCGTAAACTTTATTTCATAATTAGCATGATCACGAGGTGCTCATTTCATAATTTTATGTGATGTAATTCATTCCTTAGTTCAAGGACACAATCAAGATTTCATTTCTAACACTGCGACACAAAGTTGTACCAATCACGGGTATTTCAGGTGACCTACATCACTTTGCGACAACATTTTATACCGTGTAAATAGATCAGCTTGAACTTTAGAATTTTACTTAAACACAAAGAAAGAACAATAAAATACAGTATAGTTCTAAATTTGAAGCTGATCTATTTACAGGTATATACCAACCAGCTCAACTCATTACTCTTGTCCTTAAACAATTTGATTCATGTAAAATATATGTTACTGGTAAACAAAGGGATGTGGAGTCGTATGAACACGACGTTATGTATGTTAATGTAGATTTTTTCTACTCTTGCGTTGAAATTAAATAACTGAATTTAATATTTTTGGTACCTAAAAACAAAAGTAAATTGCACGGACGATCGAAGAAACTATATAGTTAATCGTTTCACGGCGTAAATAGTGTATATTGCCAGAACAACGCAAAAAATATATTCTCAATTTAGCGGTTCAAAACCGGTTCGAACCGGTTTGAACCGGTTTGAACCGTTATTTTTGCTCCCCGGAACTGAACCGGAACTGAACCAAAAGCCGTGAACCCGAACCGGAACAGAACCGATAAAAATTTCGGTTCGACACTCTGCCCAGCTCCCTATTTCAGCTTGAAAAAAAGTTTGAGAGAGCCAAACGTCAGTTCCTCGTGGTTTGCTTTTTCACCGCCCTCATGCATCTTGTTATAACATTTTCTGAAAATAAAACATATTTCGTCATTCAAGATTAAAAAACAACAAAAAATTTACATGCACGTTTTCTCGCAAAAATGTTTTCCCCGCATATCCTTTGTTTAACACATAGTCTACTACACCCTTCAGGGTTATTACGCTCTCATCGTTGAAGATGGAGAACCTGAAACGCACAAATTACCGCTGATGGTTTTGTCGCAGGTGGCTGGTTCGATACCGCATCCATTTATCGTTCGAAGCTGGACGCCGAGGTAACTCTGGGGCAGTGTATTGAAACCACTGCTACACCCAAAAGAAGACGAATCACTGAAAATTTCGTCCCAATGCGTTTGGACGGAGAGGCTTCAAGGTCAAGACGCACCACATCAGGTAGTGGCACAAACACGGAAAATGCTGAGCTGGTCCTCAGAGATGCACAGAGTCACATGGATTGTGATTTGGCTGTAGCGACCATTTGTCACGACACAATTTCCGAACCTTCGTTGCTGCAGAACGCGCCCACAAAATCTGCGGGGTCGTCGAAGTTTTCCTCAAGTCAAGAGTCACCCTCCATCGATCATTCAGCAGTTGTACCGACCAGTACAACACCGGGACTTTTCACGAACCATTCCCAGATATCACTAGGAGCTTCGGGGCAAGACTTAGACGATCTCTATCTCCAGATGCAATGCCCTAGTTTGAACGAAATGACTGAGCTTTCTTCCAGTTGTAATGCAACATCGGACGGCGAAGAAATACCGCGCAAGAGTGCCGCAGGCAAGGACATAGAAGTCGCCGTAGGCCGAGATATGAAGCCGACTTCGACAGCCAGTTCATGTCACGATACGACTGATGCTTTCGTACACTCAAAACTTGACGTCAGAACTACAGCAAAAAATGGTCAGCAATCGGTTGAGGCTGAACAAGTATTTGACGAGGATATGTCTGACTCCGTCCTCGATGAACTTGAACATCAGTTCAAGACACCAGAACCCACATCTTCGAGCGTCATGTCTCGAGGTATCTTTCGAAAGGCGAAGTCACCTTTTGACACGCCGACAGAAGGACAGCGTCGCGTCAGCTTTCTGGAGAAGCCGTTTGCAGAAGTGCTGCATATCATTAAAGAGGAGGAGGACTCTTCCGATGAAAGGAAAGGAGGCTCGGCGAGTAAAAGTAAGCAATTTTATCTACTACGCCAGTTCGTCTTTCATGCGCTACTTCATTGTAATTCAGCTGCATATAAAAGGAGGGTTTGCTCAAAAACTCTACTAAAAAAGAAAACGGAATATTGTGCATTGGGTGTTTAAATCACTTCTTTAGGAAACGCGCATGTGCGTGTGTGTGTGTGTGAGTTTGGGAGCATTTACACAAACATATCTCGCTTCATTTCAGCCACCATGCACTTCAGATGCACTCCGTACTTTCGCGTGCAGTATGCATACGAACCGTGTAGAACCGCTCTACGTGGTTCGTATGCATGTATCTGCGCGCAAAGTGCGGAGCGTATCCGAAATGGTCGTTGAAATGAAGCGAGAAACGAGTTGGGTTGTCTAAGCTGCTGCTGAACAGAGACTTTTACACGCAAAACGCTCGCCGTTTTCAAACAAAATAGGGAAGGGGCTCGCACCCACACGCTTTAACCATAATTCCGGTTATATAGTCCATGCCTTCGATTAATGTCACGCGCCTAATGAGGAGAATTGGGGTGGACGAGCCTAGAGTTCGGCAAAACATAATGTATATAGGAGTGCAAACTAAAGACCGGTTTGTATATAGGGTGCGCGTTTCTCGTTAAACTTCGTGGCGGCGTTGCACTCGAATCATCGCCATCTCGCTTTT